CTGCTCCTCCTCCTTCTCCTCCTTCTCCTCCTCCTCGTCCTCCTCATCCTCATCATCCTCCTCCTTTTCCTTCTCCTCCTCCTCGTCCTCCTCCTCCCCCCCCTTCCTTCTCCTCCTCCTCCTCCTCCTCCTCGTCCTCCTCGTCCTCCTCGTCTTCCTCCTCCTCCTCTTCCTCCTCCTCCTCATCGTCGTCCTCCTCCTCCTCCTCCTCGTCCTCCTCGTCTTTCTCCTCTTCCTCCTCCTCTTCCTCCTCCTCCTCCTCCTGCTCCTCTTCCTTTCTCATCCTCCTCCTCCTCCTCCTCCTCCTCCTGTACTGGAGGGAAACAACAGGGAGCAGCATACCCGTCCGAGCTGCTCAATCCTGAGCTGATCACTTTTAATAAAAGTAATTAAGGGAGAAAAAGTCTCCTGTCCTGTTTTTTTCAATGCCACAGTGTCCCCTGTGTATCCGACAAGGCTGAGCACAGTGTCTGTGACATGCTCCCTGCTCTGGCATCAGGGAGCCTTTGTGCTTCAGGCTGGCCGCGATCAAAATGCCAAGAAGCTGGTGCCTAAACATGACAAACCAAAGCCCATTGACCAGCTGTCACAGGCTGGGGGCAATCACTAGGTCCTGGCAGGACTCCAGCACTCAGCATCCTCAGCCAGCAACAGCAAGTGCTGGCTGGTCAGAAACTTGCAGCCCTGCCCTGCACTAAAGACAGCAGCACACACAGCTGGCACTTACTGGCTCAGAATGTTCAGGCCGTGGTGTGGGCACTGATGGAGGCTGGCACTCATCCACCTCATTTGCCTCCTCTTCGGCCTCCTCTCCATGAGCCGAGGGAGCCAGAGGAGAGACTGCTGTTGGTTCTGTGATCTGTAGACAGACAGCAGTGTGAGGGACAGAAAGTTACCTATGATTTATAACCTTACTTCTATTCAGCACTTTATTCTATTCAACTCTATATCTACAACCAGCTCTACTAAGGACAAATCAGAAACTTGGATAACAATGAGATTCTAAGTCACTGTGACTAAATTTAAATGGACTAATTCAACAGATTTGCTAATAGTTCTGAATTAGACATTACACCCTGGCTACTATCAAGAAGCAACATTCTCTCTGCAACATGAGCTTTTCATTCCTTGAAAGTTCTGAAATGGAAAATTAGGAAATAGCCAGAGATGCCTTTGTTATTGCTGCTGCAGACATGGAAATGGATTTTCTTTCAGCCTACCCAGCTGGCCCTCTACACTCTACTGCCACAGGCCAAGCTCTCAGCTTGCTCTACAATTCTTAAGCACCAGGAACATGAAATGTTCCTTTCTCACTCACCTCAGGATCAGCACCTCTGAATACACGCTTCAGGTGACCTGTAGTGGGCAAGGGAAAATGAACAAGTGGTGTGAGAAAACTGCCGGGGCTGCTGAATCACACAGAAGAGAAGAAATCAACCCAAACAGAGAGTATTTTTCTTTATCAAAATCCCTCCACATGACATAGTTCTTTCACACAGCCAGCAAGAGATCAGGACAATAATCTTGGTTGTGCCTACACTTCGGCATGTTCAGGGAGTAAATGAATACAAACATGATCAAGAAAATTCAAATTGTTCTTTAACACTCAATGCTTCTGTTCTGTTCTGTTCTGTCCAGCACATAAAGCAGCTTTTGTTCTCTTGTCTTTCAGGTACTTTTTTTAAAAAAAGAAGTTGCATGCACTAATTTCCATTAAGTTGCTGAAAACAGTCACCCAGAAAAGCTTGCCCCAAATCCCCCTGAGCTGTAGCAGTTCTATTGTGCAACAGCACGGCAGCAGCTCCAGGGCTCAGGAGCAGACACTCACTGCTTTGGAGTTTGCACTTCACTGCAAAGGGAATCACTCTGTTAGCACTCAGTCAAGGGTCAAAATAGACAGTCAAATTCTTTCATTACAAAATTTGGAATAAAAGAAGCTTTCCCTGAGTTCTGGGGAGAACTACAAACTCTTTAGAAGGCCTTCTGAGAAAGCCTCCCAGTCTGCATTTTGGAAGTTCTCCTGCTTGACCCAGCAAACTGAGGAAATGACAGACTCTGCTGCCACAGACTCTCCTGTGGAGGGAACGGAAGCCCTGCAGGTTCCCCTGCAAATGCTGCCCCTGTGGCTACAGACACCCCCTTTTTAGCTGAACCTCTTGACAGGAGCTTTATCAAACCAGTGGCATCCTAATGCTCTTTCTCTTTCAAAATCAGAAACTCAGCCACCAAGAAAGAGCAGGAAGACATACAAAAGCCAGGTTAGGTTACACGCTAACTTAAGCAGAAGGGAAACTTCTACTTACGGGTGAAGTGTGTCACGTAATACACGGAAAAAGAAATGCCATAAGCAGCAAAAGCTGCTGTGGCCAGATGGTGAAACATTATCATTTTTGAAAGTTAGGCAAATAATAGAAGAAACAAGGCTCTTGTCAATGGGCAGCTACCCACTGACAAATTCCCCAGCCAGGAAATCTGAGCAAGCACTAGGGCTGCTCTGACACTCAGGCCTTCCGTGCACCAAGGCAACCTTCTGATGTCACTACGACAAGGTGGCAACCATGCCCTGACATCACAAAGCAAATGCTCCATGTTGGTCTGTGGATTTATGCAAAGCAATAACCAACCTTCCATACAGCAAACACAAGAGCCTGGGAAGTTCTTCTCTGTCACAAAGCAGCACAAATTTCCCTCATGGGTCAAACCCTGTTGTTTAGGGATCCAAGAGGAACTCCAAGGGTGCCCTAAGCACCTACAGCCTGTACCCCAGCTGAGCACTCAGATGGGACACAAGCAAAGGAAACCAGACCAAGACAATGGCACACAGCATTGCACGTGTGAGAAATGACTCTCACTTTTAACATTTTAAAGGTTTAGTAAACCTTAACAAAGGACTGAATAAGGAAAAATTGCAGCATTGGGAGTCTCTGTGACTAGCAACCATGTTCTCAACTACAAAAAGGATGCTCTGCCTTTTATACCCTTAGCCCCTCTAAAAGTTTTGTCAGTCAACTCTTTCTCTTCTGTCCATTGGTGGAGATTACTTTCTTGCATCCTGACTGGAGGTCAGGTGTTGTTACACCCTGCCTGCTGGTCACAAGCCAGCCCTCCCCAAATGCCCTGACTACCAAGGCTATTACAAGGGGGACGGGAAAGAGGACTATGGGAGGATATATTACAATACCATCACTACACATTTGAACATCCACATAACATCTGCTTCTTAATTGTCAGAGCCAACCACTGCATCACTTGTCCAGAACACACAGAACCAGGAGAGAAGCCACTGTTGGCATCACAGCTGAAATGCTTCCTAACAAATCTCCCCACATATTTGCACCTTTATTGGACATGCCCAGGGCTCCAGTGCGTGTACATCTCTGCCTCTCTTCCCCTTTGGCAGCAGTCGAACCGGCAGCATCTGCCCACCAGCAGCAGCTGCTCCAAGCTGGGAATGCCACTGGCGGTGCTGATTTCCAGAGGCTTCTGTGTGCCAGGGGAAGCCAAGGCAGGAGCGGGTTGAACGGCGCTGGCGCTGCTGCTGCTCTGTGCCAGAGAGCCCCGGCTGGGCAGGGCATGGTGCCCACTGCGCTGCGGGCTCCTTCTCCTGCCACAGCTGGGCACACCTGGCAACAAGGCATGACACCTTGTGGGCAAGCCAAGGGGTTTCTGGGGCTGCACTGCTCTGCACACACCCAGCACACCTGCAGCACAGAATTTTAACCCTCAAACAGGTGAACCAAAGGGAAACAGCTGGAAAAGATTTCATTTCATCCATTCTTTATGCTTCAATAGAAATGACCAAAATGAACGTTACCGAGCAGGGCCCAATCCAGACTGCCAGCTCAGTGTGAGAAAAGAGGCATTACTTTATTTCAGTGCTGGGTGCATGGGAATCACTTCCCTGAAACATGCACACCCACATGTTAGTATCCATGGAACTAAGACATTACTTTCATTACTTTTATTCATTATTTTGCTCAAACTCACAGGCTAAACATTCTCACCAAGTATTTGACATGTTTAAATCACTTCCCCAAAATTACTGACTTTTAGAGTAGGGGTCTCTTGAGGGTCTCTGGTGGTCATGTGGTGAACATCCCGTTCCTCAAATTCTCCTTCCATGGTTAAGAGCCTTCTTCTCCTTGAATGCATTGCAGCTACCTCCTCAGTAGGCCCACTGTCTTTATTCTCAAGGCTAAGACATCCACTTGCACACATTAACCACTGCTGTGAGGGAAGGTACAACTAAGCACTGCCTGTTAAAGCTTAACAAATTCACAATTTGTTGCAAGTCAACACTTCCCCAACATCTCTCGTTTCTTCTCTGGGAATCGAACACAAGCATTTTGTGATCCCTGAGCCCAAGGCCGCCTCCAACCCTCCTTTCACCCAGCAGCCCTTCTCTCCTCACAAACAGCAGGCCCAGCAGTGCCTTCCCTCACTGCCTCAGTCACCAGCTGTGTCAGGAGTTCTCTGTCACACACTCCAGGAACATCCTGGACTGTTTGCTCTCCGCTGCACTCTGTTGCCAGCAGACATCCCCACCCTGTTCCATGCCCCTTGCAGAACCCTGCACCTGCTGTCCATGGGCACCTGGCAAGGGGAGGCACTCACGGCAGAGATGCACCAGCTGCACTGGGCAGGAACCAAAACCCTCTGGTGGCACAGCTGCTGGCCTGCCTGGGTCTGGCACAGCTCTGCACGCCCCACTCCTCACGGGCTTTGGGCTGGAAATGCAATTGCACTTTCTGCCTCATGGAGAAATACCAGGGCTGCACAAACAACGGCCAGCAGGCCACATCCCAAAGGCACTGCAGCATGGAGTTGAGAAGGAAGAAGACCCTTCCCCAATTCCTAACCATACCAAAACCACCATCATTGGGACTGTTAAACTTCTGAATGTAAAGTTGATTCACAGGGTGACAAGGGAATCTTCCAATGGAGTTGAAGTTCGGTAGAGTTTTTATTCTGAGTCCTACTCAGACTGTTGATTTGAAAATTTATTTTAAAATATTTTTTAAAAGGCTGCGAAGTCATATGGTTTTGTTCTAATACCAAAATGGCTAGATGAAATATA